AAAGATTTTATAAGATGGGGGTTGTTTGGTAAAAAAAATGGGACTTAATTTGAAAGGGGTTTTCGAGTTCATTGTTTAAATGGTAACTATGGGGGTTTATTTTGAAAGAAAAGGGAATGGAGGGACTAAAGATGGTATTATGGAAAGTAGCTAAGGGGACCGGGTATATAAACCTGTCACCCATTCTTGAACCCTAACCCTAGCGGCCTTTATCAGCCACCATCCTCTCTTTGACCATCTCCGGCCGCCGCTACATAGTTAAGTTCCATCACCACCTACTACTTCGCAGCTGGAGCACCACCATCACTGTTGTACCTCCCTCTGTCGGCGACAACGAGAACCACGTTTCTGAGACCGTTCCATAGCAACCGAACCGCCGAGACCAGCCGTCGTCCTCGTTTCTACAACCAGTGAAGAATAAGGTTGCCGATGGAAGCTGTGACGGCGAGCTACCCGAAGAAACAAGCTGAGGGCTTTCGTGGTCGCTGATCTCGGTGGCATATTGAGTTGTTTTTCCCTCTTCGTTCTTCTTATGTTGTGATGGTCACAGGTCCTCCACCGCCGCCTGTGCAATGTGTTGTTGCTCCGGTCACCATTTGCCACTCGAGAGGCGGTCGAGTTTGTGTCTCACGTGGGTTCAAGGGCGCTATTATTTTAGATTCACGGGGTGTGTTGCTGCTTGACAGGAAACTGAGAGAAACCACCACCACTACCGTGAGGTGGTGGCTGTCAGCCGCTATACGCCACCAAGAAGGTGGCTGGGTCCTTTTGCAACCAGAGCATGTGTATGAGGCGGTGTTTTTCCATTGTTGGCGTGTGTGTGTAGTTGAAGTTCTCAAAATGGCATCACCACCACCATAGGGTGGTGGCCACCGCCATGAACCACCATTGTTTCGGGAATCTATCATCCAACAGCTGGGGTTGAGTCTGCGGGACTTCATCAAGTGTGGGATTGTGTTTACGGGACTTCAGCAGTGCGAGGTGAGTTACTTTCCAGTAGCGGTGGGTCTAAGGCCACAATGCCGGCCCACCAGTAGGAGATGTATGATAGATGATTGTCTTTGTGATATCATCTAGGTTTGCTACTACCTGATATGTTATATGCTAGCATGATATGTTATGTGATAGTAGTAGAGTTCGGTTGTTAGGACCAAAGGGTAGTTAGACACCCCAGGTACGTCTGACAGTATGTGATGATATGCTTGCATGTTGTCTTGTTATGTTATATGTGATAGAGGTAGTAGGTGGGGATCAGTCCCCGAGTTCGGTTGTTAGGACCGAAGGGTAGTTCAGACACCCCAGATATGTCTGATAATATGTTATGTTATGATATGTGATAGTAGTAGTAGTAGGGGGTGAAATAGTCCCCGAGGTTTGGTCGTTAGGACCGAAGGGTAGTCAGCACCCCAGAATGGCTTGACACGGGTAGGACGGCACCCCAGAATGGCCGTATAGGTAGGTCAGCACCCCAGAAAGGCCGTACCAGGTAGGTCGGGCACCCCAGAAATGCGTGGCAGTATGTATGTTATGTGATTGTGTGGTATGTGGTATAATGGGGGAACTCACTAAGCTTCGTGCTTACGATTTTCAGTTTTGGTTTCAGGTACTTTGTGTTTAAAGGAAAGGAGCCGGCTTGATCGCAGCGCATCACACTATGGTTTTCCACACAAGAGATCTTTGGGATTACACTCTGATATTGTTTTATGATAACATGTTTGATTATTTCTACTTTGGTTTTGACATGACATAATATTACAGATGTTTTATTACACTGTTGGTTTTAAAATGACGTAATTAAAAATGAAAATTTTGGCCTGTATTTTTGGGATGTTACACCCTAAGCCCTAATTAAAAAAGAAAACACACATACTCACAAATCACGATTCACGAACAAAGAACGCATACTGTTTAATTGTGTATAAATTTCATTTTGCATATTGTTTCTATTTAAAGGTCATCATGAAGAAGTCAGTGTTGGAGGAAGAACTGGGAATTCTAGCATGAATGAATCATCAAATTGGTTTTTGGATATTTTTGAATAATTGCATTATGTATAAATGTTTTCATTTTTCAATTTTAGTTGGATGTTAAAGACTTTATGATTTTATGTTGAAAATCTTTTTTTAAGTTAATGACTTTAATCACTTTACAATTTTATGTTGAAAAAACTTTATTTTTTGAAAATGTGTTGCTTATTTATCAAACGGGTTATGTGGATTGGATTTAACCCACTAACCTGTAAACCCATATATTTAAATGGGTAACATAACTATATGTTTTTTTTTTTGGATAATCTTTTTCTTTTTTTTAAAGGATTTTTTCTCTAGTTGGAATAAATTTGAATTTCTTTTAAAAAGAAGAGATTTTAATATAGGCTAATTCGAAACCGAAATTTTAAAATTTTAGATTATCGGAATCCATAAATAGCTTTCATGTTTATTTAACACTTTTCAATGAGGACAAATATAAATTGATTGTATCAAAATAAACAACACTTTTGAATGAGGACAAATATGAATTGATTGTATCAAAATAAACAAATATAAATTGATTGTATCAAAATAAACAACACTTTTGAATGAGGACAAATATGAATTGATTGTATCAAAATAAACAAGGTGTTTGGGATAGTTTATTTTAAATAATAAGAATCTTTTAACTTATTAGTTTATTGATTTATAGCGGTGTCAAAATGGTGTTTTTAGCATGGTGTTTGGCAAACTTTTGATAAGTCATTAAGGAGTGATTTATAAAAAAATAAAAAATAAAAAATAAAAAATAAAAAATAAAATAAAAATAATAAAAAAAAAAACGTATCTCCGGTGTGGAATCACTATAAGCTATTTTCTAAAAAGTCTATCAAAACATTGGTTTTGGCATATATAGGTATAGAACCGGTAATAAGTTAAAAATCTCCTTAAATAAGCTTAGCCAAACTCCCTCACAATATCTTGATCGAAATAATTGATAATTAAGTTGGATTATCTCTATTGATAGGTAAATTAGTTTAAACTCATAATTGGTGTAATGAGTATGAGAGAGTGGTAATAGTATAGTATAGTACCTTCAGAAGGATCACTTCGTAAAGTTTGAGCGTTGGATTTCTGAAACATGATGATACAGATGACGACAAAGATGATCAAATTCCAAAAGGAAATTGAACAAAAGGGTGGTAGTTGTGGTTGAACCCTAGATCGGAACCCCATTGTCTTTGTTAGTTAACCGAGAGCAACACAGAAGACGGGTGAATTCAATATAGAAGCAGGAGGGTGCAAATGCGTAATGGTGTATCTATATGTTGTGAAAGGTTTTTGAATCGATTCAAGTGGAATTGAGCTCTCACGTGAGGTGTCAAAGTTTAAGTAGATGGTAAGTAGTAGGGTTGACCAAAGACATTTGTCAACTTGATAATTTTTTTCATTTTTGTGAAAAAGTCAAACTGTTTAATTGAATTGAAACGACTAATGGTTGCAAAGTAAGGCTAGAGATGACATAAGATAGGACAACGACGGTGGAGTTTAATAAAAGGAATTGGAAACAAATCATTTATAGTTTAATACAACTATACAAGTATCATTGCTATCAATGAAATCATTTTTAATTTGGTTTTTTGATAAGTATGCCAAAGTGAAAAGTCTTTCGGTTGCCAATTGGTTATAAGGTAGTAGTTAATACTTATTTATTTATAAAAATTAATAATGATTTGAAGACAACTCCTCCTAACACTTTCTTAATGATTTGTGTGATTAGTACATCCGTACAACGTTGTCATCTTCCCAACCACTACTACAAATCTACAAATTTGATTTACAAAAATTTTAAAATCAATAATGTCTAATAAATAAAAATAAATGTTACATATCATGTTTTTATAACTTATATTTAATTTTTCAGCTTTATTTTTAAGATGATACGTGATAGCCTTGCATATTTTCTTTTAATTACTTTACAAATAAAATATTACACTAAGATTTAAAATAATATCAATATTATGTATTATTAATGTTAGGTTTATTTCAGTTTATAGTAATTTTAAAAAGAACCTTCAAAAAATTAAAAAAATTTCCATCGGATGCCATGAGTTGTCGTTGGTTTTCATTTTCTAATACTTCATTGTTAGTCATATTTTCTAAATTGTTGTAGTATATAAAATAAAATTTGTTATTTATGTATTTTCTTATTACTTTTTACTCTATTAATTCCCTTTCAAACTTTTTAAGTTACGTTTTAATAGATCAAGATTATAACTACATCCTATAATTTTAGTCATGATCTTAGCTTCCAGTTAACATATGTTAATACTTTTGATTTTTTTTCTCATTTTCAATTAAGTTTATATTGATTTAAAATTTTTGACAAACGGCAAATCATATTTCTATAAAACAATTTTTAGATTTAATCAATTTAGACTTGGATTTTACAAGTTCCAAAATCACCAACATTATAGGATAATGATAATATTTAAAATAAATAAATAAATTCATCCTAAAAAACTCACCAATAAAATCTGGATTCCCATAACTTGATCTAGCTTTTTCATAATACCATTTGGTGCTTAATATTTATTCTTATTATTTGATTTTTTTTCTTTTCATCGATTCCGATTTGTATGACATTTTGTGTGAATTTAATAAAATACACTATTAATAAACATTTCCAATCCACAGTAATATACTTTCATAATATTTAATCATATTTAAGTAGTATTTTTTTGTATTTTAGCAATATAGTTTGATTTTCTAAGTTGTCAAACCTATTTAATACACAGGTCTCTAACCTAAAAAAAAAAAAAGTTGATTGAAGAAAATAAGAAACGAAGAGTTGAAAAGGAGTACTGTTAAATCCATAGGTTTTTGCTTTTCGATTTTTAGAATCAAATAAAGTAAACAAGTATTTTCTTTTTCCTATTTTAATTTTATTTTCATGTTTTGAAATAAAACACAAAATTGGTTATCAAGTAGCCTAGCCCAGAACCGATTTTGGGGCCTTTAGCCGGTTTGAATCACTTCCTTCTTCACCACACTCTATTAATTACAACACATTCGAAAAATAAAATAGAAACTTAATTATCTTAAAATAAAAAGAGATACAAGAAAGTAGAAATAGATGAAAATGTAGAATGTACAAGTTTCTGGCGTCTGAAAATACGTCACCTTCCTTCACGAAGACTCCCATTGTTGATTAGTTCAGATATTACAGGTGATGACATTGAGTCTATCCCCGTTGTGGTTGTATTTGTAGTGATGGTGGTATTTTCAAATGACAAAGAAGGAGTTTCTTCATCATAGAAAGTGTTGGTGTTATCATTGAAATCCCAATCGGTTAAATAACTTGGTTTTGTAGTGACTTGACTTATCTCAATGTCCCCTGAAAGCATTGCAATGACACGTGACATAGCGGGTCTTAAAGAAGGTGATGCTTGAACACACATGAGAGCTATTCCTATCATACGTGTAGCTTCTTGCTCATCAAAAGAGGTTAAAGATGGGTCCACAAGCTCTAGGCTTCTGTTGCTTTCGTATAGACTCCATGCCTTGAAACACCAAAAACATGTTAGGTGATTATAATTAACGAATTTTTGTTTAGGAAAATAAAAATAATAATAATTTATTTTGATGTTTACCCATTGGAGAAGATACTTTTGTTCGGAATCGAGTTTATCCTCATAATTGGGCCTCCCACTCACAATCTCAAGACACACAACTCCAAACCCAAAAACATCAGCTTTCGATGTTAAATGCCCACGCATTGCGTACTCCGGTGCAAGATACCCACTAACATATATTATAATAAATATAATATTAGTGGGTTATTGAATAAAGAATTATTATAATGTGTTTTAAAAAAAAAAAAAAAAAAAAAACTGACATGGTTCCAGCGACGCGAGTACTCATATGGGTTCTTTTATCATCGTATAATTTTGCTAATCCGAAATCAGAAATTTTGGGGCATAATTCTCCATCAAGTAAGATGTTACTTGCTTTCACATCACGATGCACAATTCTTGGCCTTGATTCTTCATGAAGATAAGCCAAACCTTTTGCTGTTCCTAAGCATATATTAAAGCGTGTTGCCCAATCGATATGCACATTCCTTTTACCTATTGTAACGTATCAACATACTTAGATTTTGAAATTTTCATATTTGTTTTTGTGTCGTTATTTATACATATCAAATGTTGTTTGTTTTTTTAATCCATAATAGAAACGTATTAACATACTTTTACCAATAATAGCAATATGTAACCCATAACAGCAACATACATGCAATATGTGAGGTATTATCACTAAAAGATAATAAAATTAAAAGGTATATAAAGAATTTTCCATACCAAAGAGTGCTTGATCAAGGCTGTTGTTCTCAAGATACTCATAAACAAGAAGCCTTCTAGCTCCTTCAATACAACAACCATGTAACTTAACAAGGTTCCAATGTTGGACAGATGAAATGGTGGAAATTTCAGTTATAAATTGAGTCCTTCCATGGTGGGATGCTACTGAGAGTTGCTTCACAGCTACTATCTTTCCATCACTTAATATCCCCTGTGTTACATATTAATAAACCTCATTATTTGTTTACTTTTAACAAAAGGTTTAATACAAAACTTAATAGATATAAAAAATAAAAATAAAAAACCTTGTAAACAGGTCCAAAACCACCCTCTCCAAGCAAATTTGAACTACTGAAATCCGAGGTTGCAGTTTTTAGTTCTGCATACGTATATGTATTTATTTTTGGTCCCATGCCAAGAATTTCTGTGAAAAATAAAAAATAAAAAAGTAAAGAAGAATGATTAGAAAATTGTATGGAATTACAATTAATTGTGTAGAATGGAAGAATGTGGCATTAGGGTCTGTTTGGTTGGTAATATAATTATTAGTTACCTTCTTCTTCCCTATCTTTTGACCTTCTCCTTTTCAAGTATAATAAACCAAAAATTAAGAAAACAAGGGAGACAGATCCCACACCAGCTATGATACCAATTATCATTCCAGTTTTATTTGAAGAATTACCCTTCACTTTGAAACCTAATTAAAAAAAAAAATAAAAAATCAGAAATCATTAGAGTCAAAATAAAATAAATAAATATATACGCATTCCATGATTATTACCAGGTGTAACTCTGATGGCAGAAATTATAGGACCATAATCTCCCTCTTCAGGTATACAGCAAGTCCCTTTTCCAGCCCAAAAAAGATGGATTTCAATATGATTTTGTGTCACTGAAACATCATAATGTTTTTCTAGAGCTATTCCAGCACCACCTGCTTCCTTTGATATATCAAAATCCCTTTGTTCACGTTGTCCCTGAAGAACATTGTAAAAAAAAGACCAAAATACCCTCATTAATAAAAAAATGGAAAAAATTTAAAATCTAAAATATCGGTCTAACCTGGATGTAAATATCAAAGAGTCGCCTGGGGTGACCTTTCCAGACACTGGTGGTTAAATTGAAGACAGTTTCAGCAAAGAAAAGGGTTATGGTGTAAGGACCATTTTGAAGGCCTAAACCATAGTATCTAAGAGACCCTGGAGATTTTCTTGAAGTTGTGAAAAGCTCAGGGTATCTTGTGTTGTTGACTTTGATTGATGTGGTTTGTATGAATGAAGGGTCATTGTTAATTCTGTCAATTACAATACCCCCATTGCTCACAGCCCATTTTTCTTGAAATAAATAGTAGGACGCGGGTCCCAGGGTTGTGGAGTTTTCTGTATCGAATTCTATGTCATTTGACCTTACTCCTGATCCACCACACTTGATTGCAAAGCTGGTGTCTTTAGAAATTATTAAAAGATTATTAATTAAAAATAATAATAATAAGTTGGAGTGAAAATAATGAAGCGAAGAAGATAAGAATGGAAAGAAGTAATGAGCAACTTACAAGGTGTTGTTGTGTTCCTGTTGCAAGGAAAGTCTCGCTGAAGACAAACTAATCCTGGGAAAATACTGTAAATGGAACATAAAGAAAAACAAGGTTAAAAAGAAATAATAAGAAAAAGAAAAGGAACGTTGACCAGATATTTAAGAGTTAAGACTACCCTATACACTCCAGATAAAATTTAAAATAATGCAAAAAGTGGAAACGATAAAATAACTGTTTTAATAAAAATTACAAGGTGTGACATCTTCCAATGTTGACCATGACTAATAGAAATGAGAATTTAAATAGTTACCTTATGTTTGTGCTATCAAATTTAAAGTTATTTGCCACCAAATTCCTGAAATGCACAGGCAAACATTTCAATATATTAATAAAAATACAAAAAAAAAAAAAGGAAAAAGAAAACAGCACAAGCTAGACACATACTGGATCTCAATAATCAATAAATTTAAATTTTGAAAAGTAAATGTACAATTGCAGATCACGCATGGCCCATGATGGAAGTGCCCATTGAGGAAAAGTTCCAGATAGTTCATTGTAAGACAAGTCTCTGTGAAATAAAATTATATTAAATCAAGAAAACAAAAAAATAATAATAATAAATCACTAATTGACTTACATATTTTGAAGATTTGGGCTTTTGTCAGGAAGAAGAGAACCAGATAAGCTATTGTTTCCAAGAAACCTAACCACATCAAATAACACAACAGATAATAATAATAATAATTATAATAATAATAATAAAAATAATAATAATAATAATAATAATAATATTAATAAAAACAGTTGTTTTAATATATATGTTATTGTAAGAGAAAATGTAATGATAACTTACAAGGAAGTGAGGGCACTCATATTCATTAATGTTCGTGGTAGAGGGCCACTTAAATTGTTGAAACTTAAATCCCTAAAAAAAATATATATTATAATAATATAATTATATTATCTCCAGAGAATTCTGTAAAGTTGTTTGTTTACAATTTACATGAAAAACTTACAGTGTTTTTAGGTTTTGCAATCGATTAATGTCTGTTGGAATACGACCTGAAACTAATGCGTTTCTTATAATTCTGCTTGAAACATTAAGAAAAATGTTAAGTAATTTGAAATATATAAATATATATATATATATATATATATATATATATATATATATATATATATATATATATATATTTGAAAGTTGAAACATAATGTGAAAGAGATTTATGTTATGCATCTTACAAGTCAGATAGGTTCCTCAAGTTGGTGATAAAGTTGAGAGATGAACTGACATTCTGTAAACCACTTATTCGCCTGTATAATTTCATGTATAAAAGTAGTTCATTTATATAGATTCAGAATCAAAATAATCATGAATGTAGACAAAAAAAAAAAAAAAAGAGTAACTCACAAAGAGGTCAACGAGGTCAAATTTGAAAAGGTAGCTGGTATAGGACCTTCAAAGTTATTCCCTTGAAGTCTCCTAAAATATATTTAAAAAATGGAAATAAGTAAATGATACTTTTGTTGCTTAAAATTGTGTAATATAAATAAAACAATTCTTACTCACAGTCTCAATAATTTTGTCCAGTTTCCTATAAAATCAGGTATCTTTCCAGAAAAAGGACTATCTGATGCCCACCTGAAAAACAAACAAATAACTAAAAAAAGGGCAACTTGAAGGAAACTGCAAGGTACTTTACTCTTTTTATAAATACATATAGGCAAAATATTTTATTTTTTACACATAATAACAACACACTTATATTTTTTTTACCAACAATAGCAATATGTAGTTGCAATAAAGTGTAGCAAATTTCAAGTACATTGCTATTATTGGTAAAAATGTAATTGCCCATATACTAACTAATTTTTGGCTTAAATAAATAAAGAGATTAATGAATGGAGAGAAAAATAAAAAATAAATAATACATGTGACGTAATTCTCGGAGGTTGGCAAATGTGGAGGGAATTTCACCACCACAACCACAACTGTCCATATAACTGCAAATTTTTTGAAAATTAAAATTGCATGATTTAGTTTCCATTCAGATATATAAAAAAAAAAAATATTGTGTCATGTTATGTATAATTTAAATATTGTAATAAAAACGTACAGGCCCTGCATTTTGACTAGGTTTCCAAGTTCAGGGGGAAGACTGCCTGAAAAGTTATTGGAACTAATTGCCCTACAATAAAATTATAATATATAAGAAAACAATAAAAGAATTATAAATACATTATTACAAAACAAACAGTATTAAATGGCACTCACAGTAAATCTAGTTCTTTAAGATTTCCAATCTCCTTGGGTATTGTACCAGAGAATTGATTGTGGGAAAGTGACCTTTTCAGACAAATAAAAGAAATTACTAAGGGTAATGTAGTCATTTTACATAAATAAATTGCTAAAGAAACATACTACACTTACAAGACCACCATTGATGAAAAATTTCCAAGGAATGTAGGCAAGGGACCAGTGAAGTTGTTCTGATCAATTTTCCTACACAAGTGAAAGGTATTATTATGAAGATTAACTTTTAGTAATAATTTTTGAGAAAAAAAAATAAAAAAGAATTGAAAGGTAAAAGAGAAATGCATACAATTGAGTAAGATAAGGTAGAGCAGTAAGTTCAACAGGAATAACCCCTTGCCTGCTAAGTTTACTGACTTTCCTGAAAACAAAAAGATGGAAAATCTCAAGAAAAAGCATTCATGATTTACATTTACAGCAGACAGAAACATGTAAAAAGCTGTTATTAGGTAAAACTGATTTAATCTTTTTAACTTTCATCAAATGATCATAGTTCATACAGATATCTAAACTGATTAATGAATTTTGCATTTTACAAATGCACATCCAAAACACCCCTTTTTAAGTAAGTTTGATTACTGAAATATTTAATTTGCACAAATATTTACAGAACTTGTGATCACTTCCATATGAGATGAGCTAAATGCAAGAAATAGCTATGTACTTTCCATTTTTTTCCTTATTCCAGCATTCTTCTTTCAAATTACACGTGGCTATAATAAAATTGGAAAGGACATTGCCATTTATTGCAGTTAGACATTGTTATCCCAATTAATGAATCGCATAATACATTCATGTTTCTTATTATAGGGCCCTTTCAAGTTTCAAATTACATGTACATAATGAAATGGCATACAAGTGAGAGGTTGCTTTTTGATGAACTTAAATCGGAAAAGCGATTGATTGAAGAAGATGAAAGACTTACAATTTGGTAATATGGCAAGTGGTGTTGCTGTCGAAGGTGCAATTGCATTCGATTTGTGCGACGCCGTTTTCCTTGTCGAAATCTGGTCCGAGCGCTGTTCCGCTGCATGGTTCTCCGCTGATGTTCCATTCGTTGTTCGGGATTCGAACATCCCATTGATCAAATATCGAATTCAAAGCTCTCACTGTTCAATCGATAAAAGAGAGCGATAGGTTATTGATCAATACATTATTTGGATTTTGGTTAGGGTTTTCTTTTGAAAAATTCAAAGAAATGTAAGAGCATCTTCGATTTTAAATTACCCTCGCTTTTTTTTCATATCTTTCTATTAATTTTAACCTTTAAAATGTTTAATAATTTTTTCGTTAAATTAACTAATTTATATATACTTATAGAAATTGATATATTTATTATGTAATATTTATAAAAAATGTTTGTATAAGGTGTTGGTGGAAACAAAAAAAAAAAAAGAAAGAAAGAAAAGTAGAAGAATATTTAATTTTTCCAAAGATTTTTTTTAGTGGTTTATAATTATTAATTCAGCAAATTGGAATTTAATTGATTATTTTATGCGAAAGTTGTTCAAAGGTCCTTTCTTTCCAAATTTCTTCTACGATTCCTGAAATCACATGTACACGACTTTATGATTTAGAAGTCGATTACATCCAAAAGTCAGCAGGTGTAAGTATGACCATCAAATGTTAACTTCATATTAACAATTTTAGTCATTTCTGGTATGAATTTAAATTTGCACTGACAATGTTGTTATTGTTTCTTGTTTAAAATCAAATACAAAATATATACATGTATGTGTCTAAATATGAAATTTCAAATTTAAATAAATCATCATTTCAAAACTTCTTTTTTTATTTTCTTAAGACCACGTTTCCAGTCTAACTTCATTTATTACATCCATTTTTTTCAATATTCAACATTAAATTCAATTACAATATTTTTTTTCAGTTTGCGTTTAGTTATTTCAAAGTATTACTATTATTTATTCGGAATCTAAGTTGTGTCTTAATTTAAACTATTAAACTCACAGCTATATAATTAAACCATATGTTCTTATTAAGCTAAGTTTAATTAATAGCAACAAGACAAGTAGACAGCAGTCGCATACAATCATACATATCCCGCTTATTTATTTATTTATTTATGAAAAGTACGGACATTATTATATTAGGTAATTATGCAGTTTTTGACTTTTCCGATCGTTGACAACTCCCTAATCCGCCGCTAGTATGAGCCGTCGAACGGGAAATCTATATACTAATTCTTGTTAATTCAATCTGAATATCTGATGCTGAACATTTTCGATCTGATTTTAACTAAGAACAAGACTGTGAATCAAGTCAAATGAGCTGTAGCAGAAGATACGAATATGAACCGACTGTGTATCATAATATAGGATATCATGAGCTCGGAATCGATCCAAACTATTGATAATTAACCTCAATTCTCATATATTAATCAGATCAAACTGGTAGTCGATCTAATGAGAGTGAGAGAGAGAGAGAGAGAGAGAGAGAGAGAGAGTAGTGAGAGTACCTTCGGAAGGAACAGTTCGCGGAGTTTGAGCGTTGGATTTCTGGAACATGATGATGCAGAGGAAGAAGATGATGAATTTCGAAAATGAAATTGAAGAAGGCGGCGGCAGCGGTGGCGGAAACTTATACCGGAAACCCATCGTCTCCGTTAATCGAGAGCGAAAGCGAGAGAGAAGAAGAAGCAAGTCAATTGAATAATGGACCAGTGGGTGTCAATGTAACGGGTATATCATATATGTGTATTCTCATGTGTGCGAAAGGTTTTTGAATCGACTGAAGAGGGACTGGGCTCCACGTGCGGGGTCAAAATTTGATTTGGCCCATTATGTAGGCGATAATCAATAGGGTTGAGTGATTGACCCATTGACCATAAACATTCGTCAATTTATCATTTTACTTTTTCTGAAACAAGTCATTACCACAAGATTTGATGTAATAGTCAATGGTAGAGAACCAAAAAAAAAAAAACAACAACAACATAGGAAAAGATGTGGAATATCTAGTAAAAATTTGTAGGGGTTGTTGTTGTGTCTTTGAATCTTCCTTACATAATTTCAATATCAGGTATATGGTTATATGATATTTTGTTGTGGCTTCGAATCTGCATTTGTGTTGGGTCCGGAGTCTCATATGATTACGTAACACTCAAGGAGTACTAATAGGATGTCATACCATAGTTGTGTACCTATTTGGAAAAATAGGATATACCACTTTGAGCAAAGATATCGTCACTTATCCAAACTCAAAATGACAAGGTATTTATGAGTTTTGTTTTCCATTTGAAGTACCTTTATTTTGGTATATTGAATGTCCAAAACTAGTATCGAGTGTATGAGATTAATCATTATAATGTTGTACTAAAACTTGTTGGTGTTGAAAATTTTGGTGCTAAATTTAGTGATTCTAAGATTTTTGGTGTTGAAATAGACGGTAATATTTTGTTTTTTTTGTTGAAACAGTGGTAATAAACAATATGAAACACTTGTTTAAATAAGACTAAACACGCTTTTTAATTTCATTTTTTGTGTTTAAAGAATCGATTAAACATAAATGGGAAAATGTCATAACGTAGCACCAAAAACATCTTTAAGTCATTACACTTCTAGATTATATACAATTAACCAAGAATTTTTTTTTGTTTTATTATACAACCAACTATGTCTTTTATTAGGAATAACTCGTTCCCGACATACATGGACTCCATGTAACGTCCTAAAACTACTAGTAAAAAATTTCAATTTTAAAACACCAAAACAATATAATCATTTTTTCAAAGGCGAAATCATTGTAAAATGTATTTCTCAAATATTAGAGTAAATCAAAATAGATAATACGAAAATAAACTCCAGAAGATGCGGTATAATCAGGTCGGGCACTTCCTTTTGGAACCAGAAATAGCTGAAACATTTAAACATAAAATCTTAAACACAAAGTTTAGTGAATTTCCCAAAATATCATATATATCATACAGGACATACATAACGTGTGAATGTTGCAATCATCCCACAGTCTTACGGTCACTCACTGATGCAGCCCTCTTGTAGTCTTCGTTGCTATGGTCCTCCCATAGTCTTCCATACGGCTTCCATGGTCTTTACATGGTCTTTCATACAAGTGTCATGGACCTCCAATGTTCTTTGATGCAAGTGTCATGGTCTTTCATGTTAAGTTACAAAGATAGTCTAGCAATTAACCTTGTGGATTATATACAATTAACCAAGAATTTTTTTTGTTTTATTATACAACCAACTATGTCTTTTATCAAGAATAACTCGTTCCCGACACATATGGACTCCATGTAATGTCCCAAAACTACTAGTAAAAAATTTCATTTGTAAAACACCAAAATAATATAATTATTTTTTCAAAGGCCAATCATTGTAAAATGTATTTGTCAAATATTATAGTAAATCAAAATAGATAATGCGAAAATAAACTCCAGGAGATGCGGTGTAATCAGGTCGGGCTCTTCTTTTTGGAACCAGAAATAGATGAAACATTTAAACATAAAATCCTAAGCACAAAGCTTAGTGAGTTTCCCAAAATATCATATATATCATACAGAACATATATAACGTGTGAATGTTGCAGCCATCCCACAGTCTTACAGTCACTCACTGATGCAGCCCTCTTGTAGTCTCCGTTGCTATGGTCCTCCCATAGTCTTCCATACGGATTCCATGGCCTTCACATGGTCTTTCATACAAGTGTCATGGACCTCCCTTGTTCTTTGATGCAAGTGTCATGGTCTTTCATGTTAAGTTACAAAGATAGTCTAGCAGCATGCATGGTATAGTGGGAAGACTCATATGAACTAAACAGTAGAAGCTTAACAACAACCTCCGCAACAGAACAGCTAACCTAAGCTACATAATTCAAAACTGATACTAGTCCTTAATTAAATGTTTAATTCTACCAAAGTTTGACCAAAAGTCAAACTGGCCAAAAAGTTAACGGTCAATGGTCAAAATCAACAATTGGTCAAAAAGTGTGGTGTGCACTTAAGAATCGTCGTGTGCTTTGCTAGAAGACAAAATAATCGGGTTTAAGGCTTAAAATAGACGCGGCAGAGAAAAGTCAGAAAACGCCCCGCGCTCAGGAAAAGCACTCTGCACTTTCCATTGAGTCAATACCCCAAATTCCAGATCTACACTCCCATAAGGTCTAAATGGATAAAGTTTCCAACTTTATCCATTAAGTCTTTCCAAAACAAACAAGATCTAAACTTTTAGTCCCATAAAGTCCAAATGCATCTGTCTTGCTGTAACACCTGCAGATCTAGGCTAGTCAATTTATAGATAATGAGCGTAAAAAATGAGTTTTTGATGAAAGTTTATTTAGAAGGATTAATCTTAACCAAGTTGTAGTATATGTTACAAGGGTTCCGTACATATAAACAATGCCAAAATCCGAGTTATAACGAAGAAGTTATGGTCCGTCGAAGTTTTACGGCAAAACCGACACGGCACCGGGAGACGTAAATAGTGAATTTACGATAGATGACCGTTTAGCCTTAATGATCTAAACAAAATTTGTAGTATACTTTAAACCGAGAACATACAAAACAAAAACGCTCAAATTTGTATGAGGAAGTTATAAATTTTCTAAGATTTGGCTTAATAGTGCACAATCTGAAACTCGAATTTTAGATCGAACGATTTTTGGCCTACCCGACCTAAATGAGAATTGAATATCTCATTAATAGGAACTCAACGGTAAAAAGACAGACAAAAACGGAGTCCGTATGTAGAAGTTATGAATTTTACGCTGACATTTAACAGTATAATCTCCTCGTAATATTAAATTTAATATCGGTCGAGAATTAGCCAACGGAGTGAAAATGAAAGTTGTAGATCTTATTTTTACCTACGCATGAATATAAAGAACGTCAATAATCGAGCTCATATGTAAAACTGGGAAGTGTGATGTGCAAAAATGTGTGACGTGGCACAATCTTGGTCATTGTTTTCTCCCCAAGTCTTGCTACCATATGGTGACATGTGGCATCAAGTTCAACTATATTTCACCCTATAAATAGAACCTCTCTCACCCTTATTTTCTTCACATCTTTCATAATCTTTCTTCTTTTTACTCTCTCTCTCTAGAACCTCTCTCTAGCACCAAATCCCCCCCCCCCCCCCGAAAAGCGTAGGGAACCTCTAGCACGAGGCGGAAGCCCCAGAGTGCTCGACGGCTCCGAGAAGAATAGCTTTTCGGCTTAGGAACGCTGCTCCAAGCAAAATCCGGTTTTCTATAAAACCCACTGTAAGTGAGCTACGACTATGCTATTTTTAATATAACTTTTATTTAATTATACTAACGTTATTAGGAACTTATAATAAGTACTTGGGCTATTATTATGGATTATATAAGTATTGTATAACGCTTATATAATAGTAATAATAGTTAGACTATTAATTAGTGTCAGCGAATAATAGACTAAACTCTAGTGGTAATAATACCATGTTTTCGAGCAAACTTGGAGTAACCGGTCATAAGGACTAAATGTGTACAATTTAACAAATTGAATGGGTAAATATAGACGAAAAAAAAAGTTAGTGACCAAATGTATACAAATCGAAAAATATATTACCTTTTTAAATCATTATCTCATATATAAATCAACTATATAATATTCTACAAAACCTTAAATCAACTTTTAAAATTAAACATATTTAAAAATGTTACGGTCATATAATACTTTATCTTTTTCTTATTTATTTAAATATCAATATCAACTAAGTTTATTATTCAAATTTCAATAGTATAGGACACACAGTGACACGTGCAACCCTTGACTTTTCTAGATGCAATGCAAAAGATTTCGAAATATTTCCATTTATTATTTCTACTATCATGCAAACTCTGATTTTTCCATGACACCCTACTTCGAAATCTTGTATCCGTCCCTATATGCTTAGATAATGACAAATTAAAAAGATGATTTGATTTTATGTAACATTTTAAGATGGATAAAGATAAAATTTTAAAAAAACAAAACAAAACAAAAAAACATTGAAAAAAGTCGACTACTAAAATTTTTTTGTAAGAATATATTTTTGTTAAATAAATGTTAAAAGAAAATTAACACGTAATATCTTTCAAAATATTATTACAGTTTTATTTTAATATATCATGTTAATAAAAAAAATAAAAAAGTAAAGGTATGGTTACTATTTTGTTAGAACTCTATTTTGCATATTAAAATAATAATATATTAACCAATATATATATATATATATATATATATATATATATATATATATATATATATATATATATATATATATATATAAAACTTACCAATAAAAAATAATGGAACAAAAATGAGACTCTTTATGACTAATTTTGATCCGGTTTAAAACCTGTTTATGATTGAAACTGATTTGTTTATATCCATCCCTTGACAAAGATAGGCAGGTCCAATCACTACTTCTCATGACTAGTTTTGGTTTTGGACATTTGCTAATCTCTACATATCCCATCCAATCAATCAAATAACTAGGTTTTGCATATACAATCATTGAACTTCTTCAACTTACTCTACTAATTACAACACATTCGAGAATTCTAATCTTATAAAATATACAATGTACAAGTTCCCCGTATCTGAAAATATGTCACCTTCCTTCTCTTAAATTCCCATTGTTGATCATCTCAGACATGATTATAGGTGATGACGTTGACTCAATACCCGTTGAAGTACTTGTGGTTGTATTTGTATTTGTAGTGATGGTTGTAGTTTCAGATGAAAAAGGACGAGTTTCTTCATCATAAAAAGTGTTGGTGGTATCATTGAAATCCCAATCGGTT